CAAAAATGATTGAATTATGTTGTTCTTATCTTCTGGTTAAACCTTTTATGCCTTTAATTAATAGTTGCAGAATTATCAGCAATTTAAAAGTTAATTCAGAAGTCAAACAACAAAAATCAGCGTTATATTTACAAAATATTCACGGACTTTCGATGGTTTTACCGACCCACCATCTTCAGCTGCAAAAACCAAATGAACAAGATAGGAAAAAATGATTAGATAAGATAAGAAAGGTGACAAGATAAGCAGTGCGCCATCTGTTGGTGAAACTAAACATAATTTCTCTAAAGCCGAAGGCATTGGATTGGAATTAGGATTGTACTAGACAGAAAGATTTTTTGAATGTAAATGCCTCTAGAAAATCAGTTTCTCCAATGAAAGATGTTTTTGATTTTTGGCACAGAAAATTGAAGGTGATTTTCGGACCAACATGTGAGCAACAGAGCCTTCTGTGTTTCCTTTTTTCTAACATATGCCTCATGTTCTTTGAGCGAATTTTAAGCTCTCTTAGTTTGGCCAAGTAAATTAAACCCCACTGGCAAGGAATCCTATAAATACCCAGGAATTCATATCCGGAATGGAGTCCTTGAGTATAGAAGTCGGAATTTTATTGATGGAGAATAAACACCCGAAAGTTAAATTTCTGCAAAATATGTGGCAACTTTATAGCTAATTGATGGAAAGAAGGGAATGAAAACAGAATTTTTATAATCTCCTAAAATAAGAGTGTGGCTTTTAGTGTGTTGAGATGAGAATTTTTTAACTGCTGATTAATAATGTTGGGTGAAAAGCCCCTGTCATAGCTATTGCTTTTAAATAATAGTTCTTCATCAAGGGCTAGTTTGGAGGAGCAAACTTGAAGAGCACGGAAAACATAGGATAAAAATGAAGCTAACTTTTGTTTAGTCGGATGACTGATTTAAAGTGTGGTAGAAGGCAAACCGAGAAGGTTTACGGTAAACTGTAGTACTGAAGTTGGATGTGTTAGTGTGACCAGAATGTCGAGAAACGAAGAGAATTGCAAGTCTCAAGTTTCAAAAGTGAACTGAATCGCGGATCAATAGAATTCATTGTTGAAAGAACTTATTTAAATCATCTTATTACCTTCAAACAGGGTAAAAGTATCGTCCGTAGCGGAACCATGCCGGGAAGTTTTAAAGTTTCAAACCATTTTGATTCCATAATAATGCATGTAGATATCAGCCAGGATGGGACTGAGGGGGCTTCCATGCTAAGCCCTCAGTTTGCTTGTAATATTTATTTTGGAAAACAAAAGTGTTTGTTTTCAAACAGAGTTGAGTGAGAGAAATTAGCTCATCAATTTCGAAGCAAGAAATGAAATTCGCGAATCTGTTTTCTAGACATCTTAATGCACCCTCCACTGGGACATTGGTGAATAATGATTTTACATCAAAAGAAACCATGAGGAAAATTCTAGGGAAATTTTTTTATCTTTTTTACAAACTCTATTAATTTTTTATGTGTAAATGTTTTGTCTAATAAGGGAAAATCTAGAAACTAAATATTTAGCTAATGGATAGGAGGCAGTACCTAAATTGATACAATAGGGCGGAAAGGAATACCCTTTTAGGAATTTTGGGAAGAGCTCTAATCTGGCACATTCGCAACAGATGGGAAGCGAATTTTAAGTTGCTTGAAATGATTTGCGAAGATTTGATCGCGTTTTTTATTTTGGACAAGTCCGAAGGGAAGGACTTTGGGATCGGATTATATGTCCTTCGTTAAGAGTTAGTGACACCATCGATGTAAGTGTCTATCCATGACGACATCTGCCCCTTGTGGCCTTTGAATGAATATCCGGTTAGAATTATTTCGCGCTGGTAGCTCTTTCCTCGCAGTTAGATTTGGTTTCAGGTTATTATTGAATTTCACTATGAGCGATAAGATGCCTAATCATTCTTCTGTGAATCTGAAACTTTACTGACTTGAAAGCTTTTCGATATGAGCAAATCTTTGGATAGAGGGTACAGTTGTGAGAAGTTAAATTATATTTTAGAATTTTCTTGTTCTATGAAAGACTAATTAGAAATATTAGTATTGGCTTGATGTTACAATGGGAAGATTTTTGAACTACTTGAACTGGAAGACTGAAAATGAAGTTTTCGAATTAACTGAGAGGGTGTTTTATGACGTAACTGCATTTCCGTTCCTAGACCAAACTTTGTTCAAGGGCAGTGAATTTGGATAGATTTGCGATTCAGATGAAGCTTATAGTTCATGTTCAATTTGGACAATTGTTGACGTGTTCCCTTACCACTGACCGAAATAAGGCAAGCTGAATTTAAAGATTCTGAAACGCGACTCGAAGTTTTTGATTAGATTTGATTTGAAAATAAATTAGGGATCCATTTTTTACATTACATTAAGTAAAAGTCAAAATTTCAGGAATTTTGCGTTTCAGGCGTATTTAGTGAACGATTACGATGAAGGCAGATAACAATGCGAAAATCAAACTAATTAACTGAGCAATAATAGTACACCAAAACAGCAAAAATCCCTCACTGAATGAATAGAGAACAAACGTTTGTAAGCAAAGCATGAAATCAGACAAGCAAAGCACAATACCAAATGTACAAACATAAACAAAACTTAAAAATGCAAAAAAGTACTCACGAAACTCCATCGAAAAGCTTGCAAGTTCAGTAAAGTTCAGATTCCAGAAAAAATGATAGGCATTATCGCATAATGAAATTCAATAATAAACTTGAAACCAATCTAACGCGAGGAAAGACTACACGCCGAAATCATTCTAACCCGGATATTAATCATTTAAAGGCCGACAAGGTGGCCAGATAGTCGTCATGGATAAAACTTACATCAATGGTGTCACTAAGCTTTAACGAAGACCATATAATCGATCCTAAGATCCTTCACCTTCGATTGTCCAAAATAAAACTGCATCAAATTTCGCAATCATTTCAAGCAACTTAAAATGCGATTATCCATCTGTTGCGAATTGTGCCAGATTATATGCTCGTCCCAAATTCATAAAAGGGTAGTCCTTTCGCCGATTGTATCAAGTTTAGGTACTGCCTCCATCCATCGCTAATTTAGTTTCAGATTTCACTCTATAGACATAACATTTACACCATAAAAATAAAAGAGTTTGTAAAAAAGGTTAAAAACATTTCGCCTGTAGATCATGGTTTTTTTGATGTAAAATCATTAGTCCCAATGTCCAGTGGAGGGGCTTAAGATGTCTAAAACCAGACTTCGCAGTTCATTTCTCTTGCTCGAAATTGAGAGCTAATTTCTCTCACTCATCTGTTGAAAAACACATTTGTTTTCCACAGTTACCGTAAACCTTCATCGGTTCCTCTACACCTTAATCAGTTCCGATAAACAAAAGTTAGCCTCATTTTATTCTATGTTTCGGCTCTTCAAGTTTGCTCCTCAACTAGCCCTTGATGAAGAACTAAATATTTAAAAGCATAGCTTGACAGGGGCTTTTCACCCAACTTTTAATCAAGCAGTTTAAAAAATTCTCATCTCAACGCACTAAAAATCCACTATTTTAGGAGATAATAAAAATTCTGTTGTCATCCCTTCTTTCCATCATAGATAAAGTTCAATATTTGCGAATTAACTTTCGGGTTGTTTTTTTCCCATCAATAAATTCCGACTCTACCTCAGGACCCCCATTTTCGGATATGAATTCCTGGGTATTTATAGGATCCTGCATTGGGGGTTAATTACATGCCACTAAAAGAGCGTAATTTCGCGTCAAGAACGGGGATATGTTAGAAAAAGGAAACACGAAGCTTTGTGCTCACTTGTGGTCGAAATCACACTTTCAATTTTCTGCGCCAAATTTCAAAAAACCATCTTCCATTGGAGAACTGGATTTCGAGAGGCATTTCACTTCAAAAATCGTTCTGTTCTAGTTAACAATCGCTAATTCCAATCCAATTTGCTCGGCTTGAGAATTAGTTTAGTTTCAAAAACATGGCGCCCTGCTTATTCCTGTCCAGGCTCTATCTATCAAGCATTTTTCCTATCTTCATTTGCGGTTTTTGCAGTGAAGATGGTGGTTCGGAAACATCGAAATATCCTGTGAAAATTTTGTAATAAAACGCTGATTTTTGTTGTTTGACGTCTGATTAGTATTTATTCGGGTGTTTTGTGTCTTATTTAAAGATGTAAGTGCCCTATATATCGTAGGTAATTAATTTTGTTACATAGCAGTCATTTGTTTTACATTTGAATTTCAGATAGTGAATTAAGTCAGTTTCTGCAGCTTCAGTGATTTTGCCGAGTGGGACCAGAAATATATACTTTCAGAGTGAAGACTCAAGTGCGTATTAAGGAAGCGTCAAGAGGCGTATTAAGCAGTTTTGTTTACCAAAATTTATCTGCCTTCTTACCACGCTAGCCGAATTGCTTGTTTTGGGGAAAAACTCTAATTTTAATTGTAATTTTTTTTAAATTGTGTTAATTGTATTTGGTGTTTTATGTTTATAATATTCAATTGATGAGTTATTGAGTTTTAGATTTTGCCTTGACGCGAAGTAGAAGAATAATGAATGAGAAATATATCTCTATTGAAATTCGAGGAAATAAGTTTAAACGAAATGCAGCAAAAAGTGCGGATTGTAGTCTTGTGGTTGTACATTCAACAATAGGAAGTACAACTAAATGGCATGAATCATTTAGCTCTTTGAATAAGAAATATAATAACAATTTGATCTAAATGTAAGTAAAACAAGAGGTATCAATCATATCTAGGAATACGGAAGAAACAGATCTCCGTCTACCAATTAGTTTGACTTATGTATTTGATACACTCAGTAGCTCTGCAAATGAATATGTGCATGTATAATATAAGGTAGGGGACTAGCTTTTTTTGTCAAACCAGTGCCCTGTTTTTCCATTAAAACAAAATTTGAATTGTGGCAAAGACAGGAAAATTATAAGAAACATAGCTTTCTTTCGTTAAAATCTTTAAAAATAATGATTTTACGACAAATTAATTATAAGATTCAGAATATCACGTACAGACCAGAGTGAAGAACTCTTAATTTGACCTTGATGAATCTAAAATCTGGACGGTCCTCAGGGTTTTCGAACCAGCATTCTTCCATGCACTGCTTGATGTAGTCTGGGCAATCTAGTTCGTGTAAGGGAGGACGGAAAAGTTCACCATCGTAGTTCATGGGATTGGCAACTCTTTCTTCTACATCTATAAAAATATTCGAAACTCAAAATGAATAATTTTGTTCCTGATGTAATTTCAAAAATAATGATCAATATTTTATAGTTAAAAAAATATGGGGGGACATAGATAATTTAATAAAAAGGACTAAATCATATTCAGCCGTAATCAAAACAAGAACTTAGGTTAGAATTTCAAAAGGAAAATTTTTTAATTCTTTCTAAAAGCTTTTGCAGAATAAGAAATTAAAAGTGTTAAATCGATTTTTGGCCTTATTGCAGTAAAGAAAAGGAGTCCACAATAATTTTTCGACTATGTTTCGATGAAACTAAATGAAAATAGTCGCAAGGTTAAAATATTTATACTTTTTTATCTTTTTATTAAAACACATTTTAAAATAAAACATTAAATTTAAGAAAGACAAAATGCAAAAGAATGTAAAACAAGAGTTAATATAAAAGGAAGTTTTCAGAAGGAATTATATACTAAATACGAAGCGAAACATTTGATCAGTTATAGTATTATATACTAAGCATAATCCCTATTACCCGCGGTACTATGTCGTAATGAAATGAAAATTCAGATTATCTTTTCGAATACAATTGTGTAAGGTTTATTTTAATTAACAAGTTTTATTTATTTTAAAATCTCTTCTATTCTCCTACTGTTTCTTTTGCCCCCACCATAATATGTAAATGACAGAAGTTTTAAATAGAGAAAATGTGAGTTAAGAGAAGGATTGCCATCGCTAGTGATCTTGAAGACCAATCCTCTATCTGTACCAGATGTAAGCAGAGAATTATCTGAACTCCTTTGCTGTTGCATATTAAAAAATTAGTTCATGAAATTTACAGAGTCTGTTGTAAGAATAGGTTAAGGATTTGTGAATTATAAATAATCTGAATTTACATGTTGTCTGTTATTTCTGCGAAAAGCGGAATTAAAATTTTAAGTTTATTTCTGTACTTCAAGTTGAAATTTACAATAAATTTTTGTTTTTTTGTTTTCTAAATTTGATTCGGTTGTTGTGTTTGCGGAACCAGCGGCTGATTATAGTTCTACATCTTTTTAATATTCAAATCGATTCTAAGAGGCTCTTGTGTAGAGTAGAAAATATGCTAACATTATAAAGAACGAATCACCGACAACCTACCTATTCTTTAACTAATTGCTCTTTGTCATAGTTTACATGCTGGTCTACATTGCCCAAAAAAGACTTTAATTCCAGAATGCACTTTTCCGACTGAGAATCAATTCAATTCTTAGGCAAATGCTGCCATCTAGTGGGGGTACAGGAAACGATTCCCCATATGTTCATTCAATATTCTGAGAGTATAGTCGGAGTCGGGAGTAAAATTAGTCTGTCAGATTTTAAAAATTAGTTAGTGTAGTTACGGAAAAGTGACTTTCAACTGATGGAGATAAAAATTTTCCGAATTTATGCACGATAATTAAGTTTCCTATCAGGTCCGTGCCAAACCCAATTGGCGCCGTCGTGCAAATGTCTAGAGAGCGCCTTTATGTAGTAACGATAATAATAATAATAATAACAATAATAGTAATAATAATAATAATAATAATAATAAAATAAATAATAAATTCAAACAAAAACAAAAAACAGTTTACTTTTGTCTAAATAGCAACATTTGTGCTTTGTTAAACCCACCTACACATTTTATTGACATTTATATTATAAAAGCGCCCAACGGTATATGGTAGCGTGCTGACTGCGTGCCGAAGGCTCGGTTCGAATCGGGAGAGACATGGATGTTTGTAATGTTATGTCCGTGCGGATGGGTGCACCGAATGCGAGTTGAAGTCCGCTCGAAAAGTTGGTGGCAGAAAAAAGGGGGGGAGATGCTCGATCCTCCCCCAGGGCGTTTCCACAAATTGGGTGGAAATTGAGCTAAACCAAGGTAGGTGATGAGTATGATACCAACGACAGGTTTACCTTCGTCCTTGCCACGACGAATTTCGTGGGCTTGGCTGACTATAGGTCAGACAAGTGAGCATTAGTCAACAGCACATGTATGAAAAGTACACTGCACGAAGCGATATTACTAAACCCTGGATACCAAATATATGTGCACTACTTATTATCTTAAAATTAAACCGAGTAATATACATATCTATAATTGCACTAAATAAATTGTTGATCTCAGCGTAATTTACGAAGGTTCAAATGTGATACAAAAGAGCACAAAAAATGCTGTAGGGCTGATATCTAGTGACATATCCAAAATTCTTTTCTGCACACCGCTATGTTGTTGACAACGATATAGCTTAGAGTTTCAACCGGCGATGCTATATTGCCTCCAAAAGTTTGCAAAACTGCAATTCATGCATAAGTTTTGTACTATGTATATCGCTTGGATTTTTATCAATTAATGCTTTTGCAGTTTCTGACATAAGTTGAGCTGATCTTGTAAATATATGTGAACAAAAATACGTCATGCCGACGTATGTGCCAGGGTACAGGGGGCACCGTAGACACGTTCGGCAAATTGCTTAGTCCTTATTTTGTGTCTACTGTTGCAATCAGAGTAATTTGTGAAACATTTATCTTTTCTGTGATTTTTTTTTTTGGTGATTGCTTGATGTTATATTTATTCTACATAAAAAAGGTAAGGGCAGTTACATATTATTGTTGAACTTGGGTTAGCTTTTTAATTCAGAAAAGCGACTACTTGAGCATAATTACACGTTTTTTTTTAATGTGAACCATTTATTTATTTAACTAAAAATTATTATCTTTCGAAAAGAAAGGATTGACATACTTATCGAGTAGCACTGAATTTAAAATATACCTATTTGAGATTTGAAGGGAAATAAAAATATACAAGGTATTCTGAAATTAAAAACTGCCCATTTACCGATTTTTAGTTATGCGGGAAACCGAAGGAAAATGCTTAGATATTTCATTACGTCTTTAATACATACTTTAAATTTGATTTATTTACTTTAATAAACAAACGAGTACCACCATCTCTTTGAATTATTTGGTATTGATCTAATAGTTCATACATTTACCAAGCAATGATTTCAGATATACTCACTTTTTCAGAAGTAAGTAAAATATTTCAAACAATGACTTTCCGAGTGTTTTCAAGAAACGTTTTACGCAATAGTTCTTATAATAGTTATTTTCTACTTTTATGTTTACTTCCATTTTTTCCGTTTTTATTTTTCCTCAGATGTCGGAAGAAAAACAGAAAGAAACTGTCTGAGTATTAGAATGTATTGAAGAACAAGAAGATGTGAGGATGACTTAACCAGAACTTTAAAACTATAGAGTACCCAACCTGACGCTACTATTATTTGTTCATTAACGTCTCAGCTACCACTGAAATTACCAAAAGAACCTAATAACCAAAAAGAGTTAGAAAGTGTTTTCGCCTGAGAATTACCTTTAATTTCAGTGCCAGCCTGTCGAAAAAACAGAGGAAATACCACTGAAATCTACAATTTCTGCAGTAAATACGCTTTTGCCTGTGCCTGATGATTCTGGATTATGCCCGAGTCCATTATTGCCATCCCAAGTTCAAGCCTTAAGAGAAAATTGTTCTGGATATTACCAAAACTTGGTTTCGAGTTTCAGTTTCCCAAAAGACAAAAATAGACGTAATTGTTTTTTAGATGTACTGTTGTCGAATCTGACCAAACAACGAAAGAGTTGTCCGATTTCTTAGAACGATTACGAAAGAATAAACCTGTTAATTCGGAATTTCAAATTTCATTAAAAAAGAGACGAAGCATTGGCACGATGTTATTCAAAGAATTATCTATGCAATTGAGTTTTTAGCGACATAAAACTTAGCCTTCAGTGATTCCAGTAACAAATTATTCGAAAGATATAATAATTTTCTAAAGTGTATAGAAATGATCAAAAAATTTCACACTATCAATGTCTGTATATATTAATAAAATTCAAACTAAAAGAATATGCTTCATTACCTTGGAGATCAAATTCAAAATAAAAAATTAAGCTTATTAGGGGATAATATAAAAGGAAATTATTTTAAATAGAAATAAATATAATATAAAGCAAATTATTTTAAATAAGGTCAAACAGGCAAAGAATTTTTCTATTTTACTTGATTGTAACCCTAATGCTAGCCATCATGAGCAGATATCAATTTATATGAGGTATCTTAATTTAGAAAATGCAGACATGAGTATTGAAGAAATGTTTTTAGTATTTTGTATTACAACAGATACGACCGGTGGAGGACGAACTACATTCTTATTAAAAAAAGGAGGAAAATGGAAGAAAAAAAGGAAGGAAAATGGTTTAGATATTAGTAATTTATGCGGCCAAGAACACGACAATGGTTCAAACATGAGAGGTAAACAGTTTCTGAGTAATTATGCTCAAATCGTTGCTTTTCCGAATTAGAAAGTTAACTTAAGTTTAACGTAATATGTAAATGCACTTACCGTTTTTTATGTAGAAAAACAATAACAACAAGTAATCACAAAAATGATAAATGTTGCGCAAATTACTACTATTGCAACAGTATTCACAAAATAAGGATTTGTCGAATGCGTCTATTCTTACATAAGCATCGGCATCAAGTATTTCCAAGTTCAAATAAGACAGAAGAGAACACCAAAGACGAACTCCTGTCCCGGTTATAACTTTAGGTCAAATAAGACAGTGTGCTAGAAGGAAGGAAGTGGTACTCAGACATGTCAAAGTCGACGTTAACATAGTTAAATGCCCCAACGCCTAGAGGCGATCCAAGAGGCCGCAAACTTATCGGTCGAGCCGACGAGCAAAGACTAAGCTGAGTCGACAGGAATACTCAGAAACTCATATTCCACGTCTTCGTTCTGGAGGCATGGCAAAAGCATCTGCCATCAACAAGGACCTCAACTCCGAACAGCAGAACGAAGTCACTTAAACACTATCAGAAAGACCGGGCCATCAATCCGGCCTGCTAACACTACGTCATACTATACAGATCTCAGCTTTAGGCGATCCCAGTGAAAAACCAAGGAAGGAAATGAATATGGAGTTTTGAGGCTCCAGGCGCCCACTGGAAACCTCAAGCACTATGAAGGCTAGCTGAATTCGCCAACTCCATCGACGGGGCTGTTTCGTCCCGGAAAATCATGAATATCTGACTATATAGCTCCACCACAACCAACGAAACGGGCAAGGCAGTATCATGCGGTCCCTGCCGAACCTGGAAAAACCATCGCCAGCGATGGCTCCAGTCCTGTGAGACTGTTTTTAAACACTCGTGGCCGAGACTGCCTAGGTACAGATCCTTCCCAGGTTTTACCTGAGTCGACCCCCGAAGAAGCGTTCAAATAAGACAAGAATTTTCCTGTTGAGCAGGCAGCGGGACGTACTGCTTGTTTTAATCATTACTCAGCGCCTTTTTGAATCGTGTTCCGCACGACCTTGCACCTATTGTCGGCGCGGGTCTGTTTCCTATGATACTGAATAAATTTAATGTTCATAAAACAAGGAAAAATAAGCCTTTTGACTTTTTTTGGTATTACACTAGTTATCGAATAATTAGTACATGCAATAGTTTCGAGAACAAAATTATTTATTATTATAGCCACATTTTGGTACGCTTGAGTTAGTTATTTCACAATGAAAAAAAAAAAAAAAAAAAAAAAAGAAAGAAAGAAAAAAAGATATAACGGCAAAATGTAACGAAAACAAATTATTTCGTCAAACTTTTCTTGCAGTATTTTCACAACTTTTAGCCCCAAAAGGACGTTAGTTGTTCATTTCTACGGGTGCCTGGGCCAGAGGCCCTATCCTTATTCTTAAGTTCTGGTTCTTTTTTCTAAAGTTGAAGGAACATCTGGTTAGGTAGAGGAGTTAAAAGTATAAGGTGCTTAGAAGAATCAGATGAAAAGGTAAAGAGAATGCAGAGGCATTAGCGAGGCTTTTCAGTCAGTGGCTGCTTCGATTCTTGCATGGAATAACATCAAATTTATCAATGGAGTCTGTAGATACTATAAGATTTTTATTAATGTATTTCTCCACTTTAATGACGAAGACAGAAAATTGAGTTCATTTGTACATCATCTCTATTTTATCGAAAGGAAGAAGTTGTACGGAGGTAAGTTTTCTTTAGTACAATTTCATGTAAATTGTATAACTTTATGTACCGTGCATTCTAGCGCGGTTATTTCATTAATAGTTTCTTTTTTTTTCTCCACGTCTATAGGTTACTATACGTACGTACTGTCTCTTATTACAATTTTAATGGGTCTTTTACATTCAGCAGTGATAATGTAGCTTTCAGTATTATTTGCTGGAAACAATTTAATCAGAAGGCGATGATCATTAGATGTTACAGGTATAATTTTGAGGAACTCTGTGATTCTGCGTAAGAATTTGGCAGTGGTTATATTAGATAAATGTTTTAAGTACGCATTAAAGTATTAGTTTCTAGAGGTTGCACCCTTATCGGTGGCAACAAATAATTTTTGGTCACACGGTTATTACAATTTTACTCGGTCTTTTACATTCAGCAGTAATAATGTAGTCTTCAATATTATTTGCCTGAAACAATTTAGTCAGAAGGCCGTTATCATCAGGTGATTCAGGTACAATTTTTAGGAAATTTCCTGTGACTTTGTCTAAGAATTTGGCAATGGTTATATGAGACAAATGTTTTAAGCACGCATTAAACGTAGTAGTTTCTAGAGCACCATTAAACCATTAAACGCAACATTATTGGTTTCACAGTGGTTTGAGGCTGAGTCCGCTGCTGATTATGTATGGTGTTGTCATTGCTATTACTAGTACTAAATTGCGGTGTAGAGGTGTTTTCATCATCCAATTTACTAAATCTATTACCTACTGAGATTTGATTTAATATTCTTTTTCCTAAGCGGAGCTTTCTGTAGTAGTTTTTGCTGCATTCTTAAGTTTTGTAAATCCATCACTATCGCGAGTCCCATCTTCCGAATTTTCGGTTAAGTCCTGCTTCTTCTGCTTAACTACATTAGGTTCATTAGAGGTAAAAGTAATGGGTTTGGGTAGGGAGTTACTCGCTCAAGAATTTTTGAAAAACTCACATTTAACTCGTAAGTAATGCAGTTTGCCAGATTCATTCTTATAAATTTCAGCAAGTTTCTCCGCATAAAAATCCGGTTGCCCGGCTTCAGAATGGCGGTTTACCGTGCTCTTTGTAATTCTGAATTTTTCATGTTTAAATTCAAAATCTTTAATTTCTTTTAACATCTGGCCATATTCTTCACGAGAGGTTAAACCGTTGTGCAGAACATCAGAATTTTGAGCGAAGTCCATAACATCATCACTGTCTTCAGGAATATTAATGACCGGCACACACTATCCGGAGACGTAGCATTGCCACCCGGTATGGTAGGACTGTTCGCGTTACTTATGAGAGGTGACCAAACATGCACCTCAGGTTATTAGTCTCGAAACCGATGGGATATTATTCTCGAAACGATATTTTGCTTTGAACCAATATAATTCGCTTATCACTTTTCAAATTGTTGCTGTCACATATTATGGCCCTGTATTTTATTTACAGAAATTAAATAATGAAGACTCTGTATGAATGTATGCATGTTTCTCGCATTGTGAAAAAACAGCGGCACTTAGAGCCATCCAATTTCTGAATAACTTAGTCCTCTACCTGAACATAGGTACCTGCAAGTCCGAATTTTGAATTTCGAATTAGCTTTATTATCTATTTTGTATTTAGTTAAACTTTAACAAATTTTTGATTAACAAACTCAAGATTTCAAAGCGAGTAGTGGCAGGGCACGGAATAAAACATTTTAATCTCTAGCGCGCGAGACTGTCTATCGTTTCAAAGGAATGCTGGTCTTAAATATTTTGTGATTTTCCTGTTCAATCGAATTTTATGTGGCGTAAGCGTAAAGAGCGTGGTATTTAAAGTTAACACACAAAATGTTAATAGTAAAAAGGAAAAAAAAAAAGTTTTGTAAAACTATCTTAGTAAGAAAAACCGGAAAAAAAAAAAGTGTTAGTAAGGGTTAGTGGAACAGCAGACTGATAGACTGCGAGCTCAGCGGCAGCTTAAAACACCTTAACAAACACTTTTTGGCGCGCATTAAAATCCCTTTCAGATTTTCTTTTTTGTATTTAGGGTTATTTTTAAAACTTAATCATATTAACTTTAATTATTTTAAATCTTTGGTAAAAATGCTTACGTTTTCCTAAAAATTCGTTTCTAGTTCACGATCTTTTTTTCTCTCCCCAGAGATGGCAGTTTCTCACTTTATTCTTGCTACATTCTTTTATTTACGTCATACTTGTTTTATTCATGTCATATCTGCTTCATTTTCGTCATATTCTCATCAAAACCGAAATCTCAGGATGCATAAGATCTTGTTATTCTGTAAATGAAAGTTCTGTTTCGATAACTTTCCAGACATCAGTATAAGAATTAATTATGTGGATTTTATGCGCAGTCGGCGAGGATTCATGAATTCTTTGCAAAACGGTGCACTGACTGTTTAAACTCATTTATGATAATCTGGCTTTAGGGTTAACAAGAGCTTGGATAAATATGATTGCACTAAATCAGTAAATATTACCGAATCCTTTCCTATGAAGCGCTAAAATTTTAATATAGCTGCAAATGATTAAATACAAGGAAATTTATATAAAGATCAAAAAAGGTTTATTCTTACATTTTAACGATGGCTCTGGATTTCCCCATGGTCCTTTCCTTCCAATAATTTCAAACAGAATAATTCCAAATGAATAAACATCACCTTTCTGGGTACCCCTTGCTGGAGGATTCAGTTTTCTCATCAGTTCTGGAGCTCGCCAGAGTAATGCTGGAAAAGCATGATGTGAACTTTTAACAAAGATAAGTAACGCAGCGAGTTTAAAGCTCAAACAGAGGAATTTATTGCTTTTGAATACTTCAAACTTCAGGAATACTCTTCTTATACTCTTAGCCACTAACTTTATTGAATATTTCCAAACTGATTTCTAATGTCTTTAAGTAGAATGTGTGGAAATTTCCTCCCTATTTAAACAGGGAAAGCTGATAAAAATTTTCCACCTCATAACAGTATTATAATTATTATTAACGCAGTCCTATTTACTATGCATTAAGATTGGCAAAGGAAATATTTAATTAATCAAATCACGGATACATTAGAAATAAATTAATATGTCTGAACTTGATTAGATTGTGGAAATAGTAATGCTATCAAGATATCAAAATATTTGACAGTAATTCTATAATTAAATTTTCTAGCAGATCCTTATAAATGTCTAATGACACTGTTTCAGATAAAATTTCATCGTTCTAAGCGTTTAATATAAGTAGCTAATCTCTATCATGATTCTAACTTCTTTTCGTATCTACGACAACTATTGACATTTGTTGTAAAAAAATTCACGACCGATTATTTTTTAAGATAAGTTGTTTTTCACTTTAGCTTTTTGTTAAAACTTTGAAAATGTAAACCATATCGATTTGCAGGTAACACATATTTATTGCTTTTAAAGACATACATTATTTTGCATGGTTCTACTCTGTGAAATTAAAACGGAGCTCTGAGACGGTTTTAAATAACCTTTGTGTTACACGCCTGGACTTAATAATAGCAAAATTTGAGTGTACAAATTAAAACTCCACCACTGGGGTATTAGATAACAGAAAGTTGAATTCACAAATTAAAGCGAATCGTAGTAGTAAATTACAATACAAATGGCCTAATTAAACATTGGTTCAAATTTGAACTGTGCAGTTTAACTTCGACCAGCAGATTGGCTTATCCCGTATAACTAACATATCGGAGCTAGGCAAAAGAAAAGTATTATAGCTGATGTCATCGGTACCATAAACTGTATCTTTAAAAATTTCAAAACCTTCACTTTAAATACACTAAACTCATTTACATCCTCGTGACATCTAACGAAAAGTGATAGTATAGATCCAAATCATAAGGCAATAGCTTAATTAATATAACTATGCATTTCTGTTAATAAATTTGAGAGAGAGTATTTGGACCCTGTATTAAGGAAAAGATTTGACTGTAGATGTCCTAGCCATTAGCCGTGTATGAAATGAGCTTATGATTTTTCACCTTTTAGAGGTAAGCAGTAATAATAAAATGCGCTATATGACATACACTGACTACCAATAAGTATTTGGACACCTATGCAAATGACGATATCTGCGGTCCTAAGGTACGTCACGGACTCTGCCGGTATATATGGTGTAGGAAACAGCATCGGTTTTAGTCGCATGCAAGATGCCTCGCAGTTCGGAGCTTTCTGATTTTGAGAAAGGTATAATTATCGGGTATCACAAATGTGGCCGATCCTTAAGGGACATATCTAGCGATCTGAAGTACCCAAAATCGACAGTGGTTTATGTAATTAAGAAGTGGAAGGTGAGGGGTGATTGTCGGAATGTGCCCCGAGTCGGCAGACCAACGAAACTGGCAGATAGAGACCGACGAGTGCTGTCCAGAGAAATTCGGAAGAACCGCACCCAACCGATGGCCCTCATCCGCGAGGAGTTTCAACAGGCATCCGGGAGTATTGTTTCAATGAATACCATCCGTAAGGAAGCACATCTGCTTGGTTTTCATGGTCGTGCTGCTGCCCATAAGCCTTTGATCACAAAGTCCAACCGCTTTGCTCGGTTAAGTGGTGCAAAGCACATCGAAATTGGACCATAGATCAGTGGAAACGGGTTCTTTGGAGTGACGAACCAAGGTTCACCCTTTATCTTTCGGATGGCAGTGTCTAGGTCTGGCGTCTACCTGGAGAACGTCTCTTGCCAGAATGCATTGTGACAACAGTCAAGTTCGGCAGAGGTGGAATTATGGTCTGGGGGTATTTCTCCTGGTATGGGCTGGGACACTTGGTCCCCATTCATGGTAAGCTGAACTCCGATGCCTCCTGCACTATTTTGGATGACAATGTGCTTCCTACGTTGTGGCAGTTTTACGGGGTGGACCCCTGTTACTTTCAGGACAACAATGCCAGTTGTCATGTTTCGACGTTAACCAAGGCTTGGTATGGTACCAATGGTGTTCATCGAATGGACTGCCCTGAGTCCAGACCTGAACCCTATGGAGAACCTTTGAGACGAGTTGCATCGCCGAATTCAGGGGTTCACTACCCGTGCAAAATCGGTGAGGAACTTCTATGCTTCTTCTCCAAGCCGAGTGGAAGAAAATACCACTAGCTGTGATACAAAGACTTGTGGAAAGTATGCCCCGGAGGGTCCACGCTGTAATTACGTCTCGTGGAGGCTCTACCAACTATTGATTTTGAATAAAGTTAGTTTTCCTTTTCTATCACAGGTGTCCAAATACTTATTGGTAGTCAGTGTACTTGCAATGTTCAGCAGTCATAATTTTTTATGGGATATATGGCTGTATTACGTGATCCCCTGTTAAAATATATTATAACTTTTGACTGGTTTTGTTCTAAGTATCGGTATCAACTCCTTCTCAAATGCTACCTTACTGTGACGGCTAATTATCATACTTAGTCTAAACTGATTGTGAAGGCAACAAACACATTAGAATGTAAAATAGTAAGTTAAACATATTTTACTCATTACCTGGGAAGAATTAAAGTAACATGAATGTAAATCTAAGTTTCCCCAGTTTTCAGGTAATTGCCGGAACCTACAACATGCAGAAAGGAGGGAGAAAATATCTTATACCTTAATTTTATTTCAATAAAGGTGTACTTTTGATGATTAGTTTAATGCTTACTGAACCAATATACAGTGATAATCAAGGATTCTGAAGCAATTTAACATTTTAAAGAAATAAAATGATTATTTTTGATACCGACTTACATCTAGATCTAATATCTTTAACTTCTGGAGGTGGATCCTGATTGGCTCTAAATTCGTGCATTCCAAAGTCTGTAATTTTGAGCATCCATCGATTGTCCACAATACAGTTAGATGACTTCAAATTGCCATGAGAAATTATGTCACTCTCGTGGATGTAAATCATACCCTAAAAACGGAGAACCATCTCTTATTGGTGTAATAAAAAACGGTACTAAATACAGTTGCACTTAATATAAGAAGAAATAATGAAATATCCAAAAAATAAAAGTTATCCTAAACTACATAGGCACAAAATTGTGTCTGTTCAAGTAAGTTTTCTAAGTAAGTTTTCTAAGAGTGCACATATTCCAATAAGCTACTAGTCTAGAGAATAAATCATTTCAGTATCTTACAATAGTAAAGATTTAGAAATGCATTACGGTTATATAAAGCACTTCACTACTTAAAAATAACTTTTATGAAATCTAGAATTGGGTGCAATTATTATTATTTTTTTAAATATTAAAATTAATTTTATTATTATTTTTTTCGAGGAGCCTACAAAGGAATTCTCCTACACAGTTAATTTGAATACTGACCTCATAACTTATGCTCATTGGTGCCACCATGAAATTTGAATTAAAGAACTGAAATTAATACTGATAGCAAGAGTTTTGTGTTCAAAGTTTTCAAACAGTATTATACTACAAATTCTAATAAAATATTAAAAATACATAACACTGAAATTTTGTTTCTCCAAAATAAAAAGAAATCTAACTGCAAAATAAATACATATTAAAAGGCTTTTACAAAACCATATACCCAACTCCAGTAGCACTATAACACTGTAATTTTGAATGACGAAAGTAAATTCAACGTTAGTGAAATTCAGCGTTAGTTATCAAGTTACTATCCCATAGAATAAGAGGTTGAATTAAAATCTTTTTTCTAAATAATGATTAAACACAATTAATGTTGTCTCACAGTTATATCTAGATTTTTTCTCTATCCTATCATAAACAAGATCTATTTTTTAAAAAATAAAACGTCATATTTGATTTGAAGGTATTAAAATCAGTTTCATAAAGTGAATCAGATTTCTGTATTAATTAATGATGAAATATACAATTTTTCAACCCTTCATCAAGCTTAAAACCAGAGGACTACAAATATTGCTGTTTATAACATTATATTTTTAGAACTCATTTTTTAATACTTGCTTGGAAAATACTACTAAAAGTGAAAACGCAGTACGTATGGAGGATTTTTTAAGTAAAGGGATTAAATGCTGCGTTTAATATAAAATACATATTAGATACAAATACGCATTCATTTTATAAACACTTTTGAGACAGAAAGTAAGAAAACAATGATGGTTTTATTCATTTTATTGAATATTTTCATTGATGTAAAAATGCTTGGTTAAAATTACATTGTAATTGTATTCATGTTATAAAATATGCAGAAGGAGAAACCATGCAGATATCTGCATGTATCGATTGCATATCCCAATTTACGATTGAGATTTTTCTCATCTTGAGGTGCAGCTGAACCGAACAAATAGTTCAACCGCAACTTTTCTATACACAAAATTAAAATGAATCTGTGTTGCTTAAACGATATTTATTTTGTGATTTAAAGATATAATTCTAAATAAATTATTGAAATGTTTCCGAATTTACTAACTGCTATTGAAAAATGCAAATTTAAAATAAATTTTTTTCTATTAAAAGATCTTTAAATACACATTATTCGCCTCATACATTGATCTAAAATCCTATTAAAAATTTTGCTTTATGTACTGTTTGAAAAAGCATCTAAATGTGTAAATAAATGGCAGAAAGAGAAAGAGAAATCAATAATAAAATGACAGAGAGAAAAATAATCAGGGAACTATATTTGAGGGTGATAGCTAATCGTAGAAAATTAGAAATATTACTATTTTAGAACTTGGTACAACTTTATTTGCGACATTCATTATTTCACTGTCACTTTTGCAGTATAATATGAATTATGAATTGAAAGAGTGAAGAATTCAACATTATGACTACAACATATTTTGATGAATCTGGCATATTAGTATTCCATACAGAATAAAGTTTCAATTTTTCATACGAGTTACATACGTTAAGAATATTAAAGAAATATGCTTCGTCTTTTTCTATAAGGAAAATAGTTACATTTAGATAAAGCTATATATATATATGATATATGTATAATTTATTCTAACGTGTTCTACAGGTAGACAAATCATCTTCTTTCTAACTGAGTTGCTAGTTCGAGAGAAAGGGATATTAAATTGTGTTTACGTTTAAAAGGGATGTTTTTACATTGAAAAGGTTACGTTGTGTTCATTCTAAAGTTCGTTCTTTCTTCGAAGGAACTTTCCGTCAATGTAACGCAGGTAGTCTAAACCTTCACGAAATTAACATTTGTTTATTTCTTTCAAATGGCATGTATTTTAACTGGTAGAAACTTATAACTCTCTTTTTTAGTGTTTTGGTACTTATGTCATTTTTAAAGTGGTCATTAAGTTATTATTCATTGTTTACATGAGGAGTTAAATCTGTCTGAGAATATGCGTAAGTTAAAATCATCATAACTTTTGTCTTATTACAGATGCACTTTCTCTATATCATTTTTGCTATGATAAATTACTATAATTTCTTCTTTAAACCGCAATAGTTTGCAAAGAGTTATAAAAGTTAAGATTCTCTTATTTAAGAATACTCGGCGAATATACAGGTTAATTTTGTCTTGAAACTTTAATGAGGAGTCAAAAATTACTAAATTTATTCTTTAATGTATGCACAGACATGCTTAAGTGATCTTACCTTGACTAAATCTGCAACCAGTGACGCTATGAACATTGTATCAAGATGAAGGTCAGGGTTGTTCAGTATGTCCTAAATTAAGAAGAAACACAATCACTAACTGAATGAACATTCTGCACACGCACACACACAAAGAGAAGAAATAAAAAAATTTAAAAAATAAAGGGGGGGCAAATTTATATCTTCCGTTTTGGGCCGATTAACGAAATATAACTTGCGATTTTATGTCTCGAAAGAACGACTTGGGATATATTTTAGGTTTATATATAGCATTATTCTAACATAAGTATTTTGACACAAAATCGGACTTTTCTGAAATGACATGCCAATTTATTTCCATACTTCGATTCTACGTTTCAAATTATGCCCAAATATTAAATTTTGTAAAATTGAGGGAGAAACTAACCGAGAAATTTAAAATTTAACTTGGCACACTTTTCTTCAGTTTTTGAGACAAGAATAATTTACTTGGCGAAATTCTTAACTTATAGTAACCTATTTTCCTTTTCCTTTTCTCACTGTGCATCAGCGGGGAAAAAAAAAAAAAAAAAAAAAAAAAAAAAAAAAAGGTGCATCGTTCATTCTTTTAAATAATTTTAACAAACTGCGTAAAGCGCATTTAGTGTTATCGCATATAACAAATATGCCAAATCTGAAAACGAACCAATATACAAATTCACTTATATCTTTGGAAATTTTGAATAGGAAACTCTAATTTTAGCAGTTATGTTTAGAAATTCACCTACTTTATGGTGATGGCAAAAGTTTTATAGTTTATATTTCAAGAAGTTTTTCGATAAATTTATAAAAATTAGTGAAAAACACAAATTAAAAAAAATAAATAAAAAATTAGCTACGAATTTTATTTGAATTGAATCTAAATTTCAAACTGTGAAAGAAGAGATCAAGTAAGTTTAATAAAAAGAATTATTATTAATAAATGTAGTCCAAATTCAAATAACACTGAGGAGATAAAATTTTGAGAGCTAATATTTTAAAAACTACTCGTGCGAATTTTCAGAAAACTTGGCACTCAGGCATAATTAAAGATGTAGAAGTGAAATATGGAAAAAAAAATCGGTATATCTTTCCAGAAAAAGTCCGAATTTGGGTCAAAATACGTATGTTACAACAATGCTATATATAAATCTAAAATATATCCTAAGCCGCGCTTCGAGACATGGAAAAAGCGAGTTAAATTTCGTCAATCGGCCCAGTAGAACTGGAGATATAGAACCGTCGTATTCTTTTTGTGCAAAGACTACGTGTAGCTACCTATCTATATAACATTTATAAATTGCTTGTGATACTAAATATGGAATCATTAGTCAGCAAATGAGTAAGACACAAATATTTAGGATATAGTGCAAATTTTTAATTTTTTCTCTCGTCTGTTTTTTTCTAATCTTTGTTTTAAATTACTCAAATTCTGATAGGATTGGTATGAATAACTGCACTTACTTGAAGACTGCCTCTCGAGCAGAATAAACTCAGAATACAAATATTAGGTGGGTCGACGCATGCGCCAATGAAAGGGTTGATATTTTCATGTCTCATTTCTCTGATCTGGAAATCAAAAAGATATAAATGTACTTAGGATACATACTCATACATAGAAACAATTTTATTATTGTAGCTAATATTATTTTTTCAGTGATTATTTTATTTTATAGCTTTAAGTTCGTGCGAATAGGGAAGGTTGACTTTTGGTATTAGAAATACGTATAGTCTAGTTTTGTAACTATATTGTTTTACATAACGCTACTAGAGTATTGCGACATAAAATTTTTAATTTGGCTTTCAAATGAAAACTTTTTTATAGTTAACAAAATGAGTAATTTAAAAATTATCTAAATTCTTCTTAATAATTTGTACCTTCCAAAGTTTTGTTTTTAATAATGTCAATATAAATTACGTAATTACGTAATTACGTATTATGTGATTATTTGCATGTAGTATAAATTATGTCTTATGTAATTATTTGTGTGTAATGGAATTTACAAATAAATAATATAATTTTAAAAACTTTTGAATCGTTACTGCAATTAATAAAATATATATCGTATGCCGTATATTGCTTACTTTGGTACAGAACAATGCTGCACATGTGGCCTAATGGCCATTCACTTTTATTAAGTTTTTTCATGTAACATCTTATATTAGAAAAGGCGAAATGAAAAATGTATGTGGTACAGATACACTCAGCTGATCAGTGATAATGTTTACAAAATGTTGCATACTTTTTTTAATAATCGCTACACTATTTATATTTGGTATGTAAATTGATGAACATCTCCGGATTTGGGCCGGATGAAAATTATTACTAGTTGGAGTTGTAAGAAAGGTTCAAATTTTTGGCTATTTTTCTTTGCTCTTCTTCCATGTTTATTCAGGAAGTTTACCCAAACTGTTAACACACAACGCTGGAAAATATCAAGATGTTTACTTTAGTTATTCTTTATTTTGAAGTTGTGGAAGATAGCCATTTGTAAAATGGAATCCTAAGTTTGAAGACTTTTATTTTAGAAAACAGGTAAGATGTTATTTTTATATACTTAAATTTGGGAATTTCAAGCCTCCAACAGTACAATCAATAGGATTTTATGAGCCTTATTATTATGACTTAATATTATGATTTGCGCTTTGCGAACTGTTTTATTATTAGTTTTAAGGTACTGTGATATGCATGAGCTTTAAGGCATGAGTTGCCTACTTTAGTTACTGTTTACTACAGTTATTGTTCACTGTTACTTCAGTTATTAGTCTTAGCTTTCGCCCTGACATCAGTATCTTAGTTAATATCATACAGAAATTCGAGAAGAAAAAAGAAGGGCAAAGAGATACACTGTGTGGCATGGCCGTACTCAGCTGATAAATATGTTGACTCAGCTGATACAATGATACGTTTACAAGTTTACAAGTAATGTTTTAGGAAATGACAATAATCAAAAACCATCTGAGAGAGCTCATTGACCATTCGAAAAATTTCAGTGCCTCCACTGTGGTCGTCTACTTAACATCAGCACTCAGCAATAAAAAATATTTAGTTCTCTCCTTGCACTTGAAGAGTTAACATGAGTGTTACCAAGTCAAAAAAATTATTCAAGACAGATGTCTGGGAGCTGAAAACAAGGACTGAACGTTGGACAGAACACAAATACACTGATTGGCCATTTCAATTTAAGGATATATGAACAAGATATATATGAACTATATGCTGCTTTCACACATCCTAAAGGAGAGAAAATCTTACATAAATTGATTTTACTTATTACAAAGGTGAGTAATTAGAGTATGAAAAATTACTTGACCAAGAATTTTAAATATTTTACTTAATCCAAAGGTTAGCAACTGGGATCGATTAAGTGATTTGAAGCAAAATCTTACATACCTGGGTTTCACCTATCACAAAGGTTGATAACTAAGCTCGGGAATGTGTTTTGAACCAAAAAAGTGGCAACATCTGCGTAGCCGAAAGCCGGAATAATTAATTACAGGAATTAATTCCGGTAGGAATTGCGTGGGACGGTATGAATAATTTATTTCTTCCGTTGATTTATTCTCTACTTTTTACGCCGCTTGTTCACATGTTAGCCATTCATACCGTAGAGAATATGAATTTAATTTTTACCGTCTTAAAATGTATATAAAGCTTTAAAATTGGATTTATTTTCTACTTTTTAATTCTCCTATTATCATTCCCATGCATACTGGAGTTACACAAAATCACTCTTTTATGGGATCGGATCAGAGCTGTTCGCTCACTGAAATGAATCGGTTCTTTTTTTATGACTGTCTCCTAATTAACAATGGGGAATCAAGAGCGGAAATAATCGAATAAGCAGTTAGATAGGGACCGGTTAGCGAGATTGGAGCGAAGAAGTGAAAGGAATCGAGTGGGATGGAAAATATTGACTCAATCAAACGCAAAGTGCTTGAACTGATTTTTTTCAACAGTAGTTTTGAGATTCCCTATAGCTCTCTTCCTACACAGAACCAACAATAAAATTCTGAAATTAAAAGTTTTCAAAAAATTGGGCAATGATAAAAATTAAACTAACATTTGCGAAAGTAAACGTTCCCCATACCCCCTTAAAGATAGGAAGTGGTCACGCTTCCAACTGCTACATTACACCCTCACATCCCCCTTTACAAGTACAACACCCCCCTTTTCTAATCAGGCGGCGCTTCGCTCGGGGAAAGGAAAAGTTTGGGAAGGAATGAGCAAGCTCTTTCTGTCCTCACCTGCCAATAACAGCCCGGGGACGGCAAGTTCCGTTGTCTGAAAAGAATGTTCCAAATACAAACTGGGTAGTGAGTGTTTCGGGGGAAGCAGGGGGAGTGTGAAACGCTAATATCATAAAGGGGAGTGGTTTGAACTCTCTTACTGGGCTGCTAAGTTGACGTTGGTTTTTAGAGGGGTGCATTTCGATAACAGATGAATCGCAGAACGGAACTATTGGAATACGTTCTATGAACACAGAAGTATTTTGGAAAGGTCAAAAGACATCATGTAATGAAGCTGGGCAACGTATCCAGAACGGATCAATTCGATACTAAAAGACGGGGGGTGTAAAAAAAGAATTAAAGCGGCAATGAATTTCGCTACACTTGGAGTGCTCGTAACAGGGGAGAACTCGTTCAGTGTGCGGAACGGGGGAACAAAGAGGCCTCCAGGGGTGGAGCATATAAAAGAATATAACTAAATACGAAGGGGCCGCCGGAGCTAACGGGGTTATGAGGATAAAAAAGGGACGAGGGGGTAAGTTGCAAGCTGGGGAAAAAAAAAAAAAAACGAAAAATACCGTGACTAATACAGGAATGACAACCGAGGTAAAGAAAAGGCGGTGTAATGAAGATTGCGCTCAAGGACGAGCATTCTGAATCGATGTCCATCCAGCGAGATCGCCATTGTTTAGATTTTATAAATATACTGAGATTATGTTTTATCCCTCAGTCCGGTGACTACAGTCTTTGTCTATATGTAGCCCAATTAGGCTGGTAATCAATATGTTCATCTCTTTCCTAGTTTTTTTTAGAATAAGTGTATCTTCAGGTCTCGTTGCGGAATAATCGAAAACGAAACGAACAACATATAACGATGATATACGTGTTATCAGTGCGTGGCCGAAACTTATGAAGCACTAAGGTGTGAACTGATCGAGGTGACAGCGTTTCCGTGCGAACCACTGTGAGTGGGTGTCAGGCACTGGAGCTTCCAGGCGGGCTGGCACAGTCGGTTTTCATCACCTTTTACGTTGTCAACTTCTTGTAAAAAAAAAAAAAAAAAAAAAAAAAAAAAAGAAAAAAAAAGTAAATTTAGTTAGATGTTTCTAAAATATGTTTGTATTTTCATTCTAAAAGAATGCTTATTTAATTTCAAATCTAAACTTTTGTACAAAGTCTGTAGAATATATTGGATATTTTTGAAGGAATAATCAAAAATTCACTCAAATAATAATTCATAATATTCCCTTGTCCCATCCCCTTAGGAGTCCCGGTAAGTGAGGAAACCCGTGAATATAAAAGAAATGATTTTATGCCTACGGAAAAGGCATTGACCCTTTATATTAATTTCCACGATTTTCGGACGAATATATATTTTCTTTTGACCACAAGGAGGTAAAAGAGCGATTAAACCAATATGATGTTAACACCTGTATGTTCACAAAACGTCCTTCCTATCCTTGTGGCATCTCATTTTTGTGGATTTTCCATCGAGTAGTTCTCACTGGGGCAATTCAGGGCTCATCGTCCTCCTTTAGTATCGAGTTCCTTTATCGTATTGTCATTTTTATTTCGCGAAACAATATAAAATAGGCGGATTTAGGGTGGTAAAACGGGGTGAGACCTCAGCTCTTTCTTTGCACCGATATGTAAACAGCGTGCCTTGGTTCCCATTTGATTGGCCGTCCGCACGGTACCCATCATCCGGACGTTTTTCCTTCTTTATTACACCTCACCTCATCGCTCGCCCCCGCCCCCCCTTCCTTTCCATGGTCCTTCCCTCCTTGCTTTATCACGTTTCCGTCACATCATAAAAAGAATATTTATGTTTAATTTAATTCACGAAGGAGGTACCCGTGAAAAAAAGCATTTCGCTTTAATATTAATATTTCATTGTTTCATTTGCCATCTAATAAAATAGAATATTTCGTGTTAACGAATTTACTCAATTAGATCTAAAAAAATTCCTCACTTTTTACTGACTGTCTAGAAAGTTCAAAGGCTGGAAATAATTCCAAGAAATAACTTTTATGAAAATGGTTAGAGAAAATGATTGGCTTGTAAAAGGATAAAAAAATGACCTCTCAGAGAATTAAAAATTATACACAAGCATTTTTGAAGGGGGATATTTCAACCAGATAAAATTTCTTCTCAAGAAGAAAGCCCCCCCTTTTTTTTCAAGTCACATGTAATATAAAACAAATCGGACAAAATGTCATTTGCCCTTTTAAATTAAAACCAATTTCTTCAATCATCAAACAGATTTCTCTCCTTAAATTTCACTGAACAACAAACTCGTTATATTGAATATTTTTAAAGGCTTATTTACATAAATTTCAATGATGGGTTTTCAGCGCTTATAGACAACAAAAGTTTGGATTTGAAGACAGGATGATTTCTTCATTGCAGATGTATAAGAAGAATAGTAATCATTCTAAAACCTTAAAAACGGAATTTTTGAAATCAATGTAAATTGCAGTGATGAATCCATATCTCATTTATTAGTAGCCGATACATTAACTGTGTAAGATGAATTATGCAGAAACATACCTTAGACTAATCAGTTTTTAGAGGTCTACTTCAGCCATGAAAAAGTAAAATATTTATAAAATAGATTAAGACCATTAAAAACACTCAGATCATAAAACTCATACCAAAAATAATTGCTATTCTTTGAAAATACGGAATTGAAAAATAAAACTTTTTTTTTAAAGAAGTTGATGTAATTTATGCGATATCTTTTAATATATATGATGCAGAAGGAATAGCGATTCCTCGTGCAATAAAAAATCTGATGTGTACACCACATGACTTCCTTGAATGGAATATTAAATTATACGCATTTTTTCCTGCATTTCACTTATTTCCTCGAATTTCATTAGAGATATATTTCTCATTCAATTAATTCAGTTCTCACTTCGCGATAAGGCAAACATATATAAAACCTTAAAATATATTTATTAAAATTGAAAAATATAGAAAAATATAAAACATCAAATACAGTTAAAACAATTAAAAAACAATTTTTACAATTAAAATTAGATTTTCTAAGCAAAAACAGGCAATTCGGCCAGAAAAACAGATTTTTCAGTGCGGAAACCTGACAGTTTTCCTTTTGTCCCACTCGGCAGAAAGACACGGAAGGTGCAGAAATTGACTTAATCCACTATTCTACTAAGTTACAAATGTAAAAAATTATGGCTTCTACGATAAAAAAAATTAGGCTCAGCCGCACTTAAACAACTTTTAAATTGTTGATAATTCTACAGCTATTGCATGCAGATTAACTAAAGGCATAAAAACCTTAAGCGGAAGATAAGAACAACATAATCCAATCAATTTCTAAAGCAAAAAAATGCACAATTTACCAACATATAAGAATAGAACACTGAGCTCACTAAGCCGAGTAACAGAGTTTATATACATATATTATAATACATACATATATATATTATATATATTGGTGCTACCGATTGCAACCAGAAAGGAAGGAGCACAATTACATGTTATAGCAGTCCTATATACAGAATTTCCTCCTTAACTTGCTAAGTAAAGTTAAGTTCTGAGGCTACTCGTTTTTGAGTTATGCGAGATACGTATGTACGTATGTAGGTACGTACGTACCAAAGCCACGAAAAAAAATTTCTGAATACATTTTAAATCAGTTAATAATTCGTTTGGGAGAAAAGAGTACTTTATTCTGTTCTTATGTACAGATGTCGCACAAAAACATGGTTAGATTACATTCGATAGCCATCAAAATGAATATTTGCTTTGAAATATGAAACCCGGAATTTTTCGTGATGCTAGTACTTCTTTTATTTCGTACACAAGGAAGTAAAAAGAACGTTTACATTGCAGCAGTCTTATATCATAGAAGAGTAACAAAACTTATGCTCATTCTCAAGAATTTAGGATTTTGAGGATCTATGAAGAACAGGATGCATATCTTCTTCACAGTAGAAGGACCTTTTCAGCAGTTTTCTCCAACGAATATAAAAATGAATACTTCGATTTATCTTGATTTCTATTACGAAACGTTTCTTGTTACGATTTGTAATTACGGGCAATTTACATAAAACTTCGGAAGCGAACGTTACCTTTCAGCGAATTTTAATTCTAATCAGTGGTGTGGAAAAGGAATAATATTTTCTTATTTAATTTGGTGAAGGAGTAGTAAATGGTAATTCTATGGAATGAAAAAACAATAATGTGAGCCGCATATAATGATACTTTAAGATGCATTTTAAGAGAATAGTAATTTTTTAGACCAATTAGTTATTCTTTAAAAAATTTTTCTCTCTTTAAATTTTAAATGAAGAGACAAAAAATTTTCGATAAACTTGCATGCGTTCAAGAGCTTGCAAATTTTGCGATGCCAAACTGCCAAGTTTTGTAAAAATCGCAGGAGTAGTTTTAAAAAATTAGCTTTCAAAATTTCAGTTCCTCCATGCTAATTGAATTTTATATATTTATATGAATATCTTTTATTAATTAAATTTATTTGATTCTTCCTTTCCCATTTCGAAATTTAGGTTCATTCCAAATAAAATTGTAGAGACATTAGGATTTTTTGGAAGCAGACTTGATGAAAAATTAGCAATCGCCTTCGCCGGGATTCGAACCACGGACCTCTGAAATACCGACTCAGTGTGCTGACCACTACACCACGAAGGCACGCTAGGAAGGCGGGAGGAATACCTTCTAAAATATATCTTTCAAATAGCTAACAGCACTCCACTTTTTATACGCGCTGAACAAGAATTCCATAAGACAACAGTACTACAACTACGAAAGAAGAGCCATTACAAATCTTTTAGAACGTTTAGCAGAGAATTACGAGACACCGGCACACCCATATGAACACCACACAGGAAAGAAAAATAATATCACATTAAGCATGAAAAAAGAAGTAAGCGAAAAGAAATTCCCCCAACTCTTTACAGACGGTTCCGGCCTAGAAGGTAAAGGCAGCGCGATTCAAAATCTACCTAGATTCCCAATTCGACAGCAAAACAGAAATTTCATCTAGATCAACAAAATTGTATATTACAAGCGGAATCAGTAGCACTCCTTCAAGCAATAAAATACAGCATCACAAACTCTCTAAAAGCAGCACATATCTTTACAAACAGTCTTTAAGCGATGCATGCCATCGCAAACCCGCGCCACCGATCAAACTTAATCCAGGAGATTACAGAAAGAACTTCAGCATCACAAAATCAACACTTCTTTGTAACTTGGCTGAAGGCACATGCAGGGACAAAAGGCAACGAGGAGGCTGACAACCTAGCCAAAGAAGCAGCTAGGGGTCAAAATGCACAAAATTTATCAGTACCATGGCCTGGCTCGCACCTTAAAAAAATCATAACCAACAAGCTGAATGGCCGAACTGGTGGGACAACGCCGAACAAGGAAGGACTTATCAGTTGTTCCCGAAAGTAGGCACAGCTCCCAGTTTAATAACTAGAGAAATAACGTGGTTCTTATCAGGGCATGGCCCTTTTCCCACGTACTTCTATGCAAGGAAACTAGCAACTTCAGATCAATGTGCATGCGGAGAAAGAGGCAGTCCCGACCATTATATATTCAGCTGAACCCTTACAGCTGAACATCATCTAAAAGTCCAGAATTCACAGAGTGAAGTGACTCCCTTTATTAGAAACGCTATCAAGAACATCCATCTCCGATATAATGAGCTTCCTTTTCACAAGAGGCACTGAACTATGCAGCACAACCTAGAATAATATAACAAAGCTACTACTTAAAACATAGTATGCAAGCAGACCTGGAGCTGCCCTTCATAGCATGTACGTGAGAAAGGCACCAACTGTAAAAACACCAATGTATATTTAAGGAAAAAAGAAGGCACTGCCCGCGGTCTGGTAAAATACAAAGCATTGCAAGCAACGCCTGGCAGGATCCCCTATAAGTCCTGGGGGTGTAATTTATTTGGATATTTAGTGTGGCTGGACAATACCCACATTGCCAATGGTTAAACAATGAGTGTCCACAACATTTCTCCATATCCATATCATACCTTATAAAATTCGCAGATTTTTTATGATTTATTTTTAAAATTTGTATTTTAAAATAATTTTTATAAATTTTTCGGAAAACATTTTGGATTAAAACCGATAAAAGTTTTACTATTCCCTTAAAGTACTTCTAAGCATACATGCAAAAATTTACAATTTTTTATTGAAAATGTTCTAAGATATACGTGAATTCATATATTGGCTTGTTTTCAGATTTGGCATATTGTTATATGCGATAATAACACTAAATTTCCTTTACGCAGTTTGTTAAAATTATATGAAAGAATGAACGATGCACCCTTTTTCCGCTGATGCACAGTGGGAAAAGGGAAAGTGAAATCGGTTACTATAAATTAATATTTTTGTCAAGTGAATTATTTTTGTTTCAAACTGAATAAAAGTGTGCCGAGTTAAAGTTTTGAATTTCTGCTTAAATTTCGCACCAAATTTTACAAAATTTAATATTTAGGCATAATTTGAGTAGGAGAATCGAAATATGGAAAAGAACTGGCATGTTATTTCAGAAAATGTCTGATTTTTGTATCAAAATACCTATATTAGAGCAATGCTATATATAAATCTAATATATATCCTAAATCGCGCTTTCGAGACATGAAAAAAGCAATCTGAATTTCGTCAATCGGCCCAGTAGAATGGGATATATAGAACTGTCTTCCTTTTTTTGTGCATTGTACATAAGATGTTTAATGCAGAAAATTTCCAAAGTTTCAAGAAATATAAATCAGATTAAAAGTTACTTGATGCTCACAAAAGAAATGATACTGACGTATAGAGTGTTACGAAATCTTTGGAATCTTCCATCGTGGTCAGACCTCAAGAGTAACAGATCTTTCATCTCTACCTTCCACAGCAAACAAGCCAGTTTCTGTTCGTATCGGTAGTGTCTGTAAATACGTAGATTAAACAATAAGCACAGCTGCGATTTGCAATAAAAATTTATTCAATAAAATAAAATATTAAAAGATTTTATAGTAAGCAAGAAGTCCAAATTTAATATTGAGAAGAAAAGTAATTTATTGCTGGTTAAAGTTCTTGACTAAGGAGGGGGGAAATACCTTATTTTCTAGGATAAATGTTATTAAACTTATGTTACCGACGAATTCGTACAATATTCAAACAAATCAGAAAGTAGCGAATATAAATTAACAACTTTAATCATAGTCCTAATTACAGGAGGCGATGAGTATTTAATTATCATAAAACAGTGTTGAAAATGCGCGTAATAAGAAAGATTATTCCAATATGGTAAAATTATTTACTAAAGATGTTTGGCTTAAGAGTTAAGCAAGGGTTTACACAGTGGGTTTGCAAGTTTTATAAAATTGCATGAAAACTGTTATACATCAACTCCCAAACACACTAGTATAAACAAAATACTTTCATTCTCAGTAACATCAAAACACAGAAAACATTAAATTATATTCATGGAATGGGTAATTGTAAAATATTTCCCTGCTATGTTTGTTATACTTGTATGTACAGAGATTTGTATTTGTAGAGTCATTAGGTTTTTTTGATACGGAAGACATGAAAAATGAGCAATGCCCTTGCCGGGACCTCTTGAGTACGCGCCGAGTGTGCTTCTGTTACATCACGGACGCATGCTGGAAGGGCGGAGAAAATACCTTATATACCCCGTTTTAAAGGGAGGCTGATGATTAGGCGAACCAGTCGCCAAGTCCTGGTGGTGATGAATGGTCATCCACCACTTTTTAGTTCGGGCGCCACTGTAGAGTCATTAGATTGTTTTGAAGCAAGAGACATGAAAAATGAGGAATGCCCTCTCCGGTACTCGAACAAGGACCTATCGAATACGCGCCGAGTGTGCTAACGTTACACCACGAAAGCATGCTGAAAGGAAGGAGGATAATACTTAAAAAACTTTAACGGTGTGAGGTTTATATTATTTTTACGAATAGTTATTTTAATTGGTTAACCTTGCTGTCTTTTCTTGTTTCCCTCGCGTTTCCTCGTCGGGATGTAAATGAGTTAGGGTGAACGAGATTGTATTTAAACTGAAGTAGCATAAAGTTAGTCAGAGCGTATTTCACTAATGAGCGCGCACGTTGTTATTTGTACTTAGCTGTTTAAATTCTGAATCCCGGCTCCACATTCTTGCTGCCAAATTTAATAGCACGCCGGTGTAAGTTTTTGAGTCAACCTGCTGGGATAAATTAAATTGTGTAGTCTTGTGCTGCTTACCTTTGAATTTAGTTTAGTTATCATTATCTTTAGTTTTACCTCAAGTGCATAGTGGATTTGTAAGCACAAAGATTGTGCCGTTTGTAAAGAGCCTTTTCAAATAGGTCTAGTAGCAGTTTATTTTACTAGACCTACTTCTAAGAATACTGAATGTTACAACAGATTTAACATCTTATGAAGATGAATTATAAATTATATAATTATAAATTTAAGCATTTTACCGATATCACAATAATTAATTGAGCAAAACTGTTGAAATGCTTTGAAACATTATATATTACTTCTACTTTATGTATAAACTTATTCATGTACTAAAAGAGTTTTTGTTCCGTTTTTTTAGTACATTTCATTATAACAGGATAAACTCCGAAGGGACTTCTAGAAAAGTGATAAACATGAGATGCAAAGCAAGAATAATATTTTTGTTTTCATATAATAATTCAAATAATTTATCTAATTCCAGATAACATACAATCTTAAAACAAGATATTCAAGTGCGCTATGCAGTCCTTACCACCTTGATTGCAAAGTTAAATTCTTATGCCCTGAAGGCGAAAATTACAATCAAGATTGCTTTGAATTCACTTCAGTTACCCTGCTAAAGTAATAGTTTTGCCACCGCATTCCTTTCGATTTTACTCCCGGATTGCTTAAAATCATGTAAAAAAAAGTTGAAAGCATGATAAAAAGACTGAAATGCAGTTTTTGTGAGAAAAAATATAAACAGAACGAAATGTGCATTTTTTTCAATAAGGAAATTTAATTTTGTACAGGGTTTGGAATTTTAACTCACGATGAAGAATCATAAGAAAAAATTGTCTCAAATCTAATATATATACAAAAAGAAACATAATAATAGGCTAAACATTAAAAACAAATTTCTTTAGAACGGTCCTGCGCTATAGCTGCAGGATTGAAGTAAAATAAACTTAAAGCATCTAAAGTAAATATTCAATTGAAATCAAAGCAAGGCAATTCCTCAACAATATTAAAAATTGTAGCGGTGTAAGAGATGTTAACATAATATCTAAACAAATCAAAATTAAAATAAGAATTCATGGCAGAACAAACTCGAAAAATAAAAATGCGACATGTAAAATATAAAAAAATACAAATGATAAAAATTAATCTCCCTTTGCTGAAACTCCAATTCAGAGTTCATCAGGGAAAAATGAAATAAAGTTTCAGAAAAGTCGAATCAGATGTTTCGTTTTCCTGGTTCTTGAGATCAAAAACCGAAAAAAGTACAATTAAATTTTCAATTAAGACATTAAAATTCATATAAAACCGAAAAATCTAATCTCAGATATACCAGAATTTTCCCTACACAATTTCGAAACACTTGAAAAAAAAAAAAAAAAAAAAAAAAAAGGAATAAAACATAACATTGTGCCCAACTGACTACTGAAAACGACCTGAAAACTTAACATTTTGCAACTTGACCATTCAAAAAATAACTGGTCTAAAAGCATTACATGCAAAATCGAAATTCAGAAGCAATTACAAATAAAGAGCAAAACAAATATGCATTAAACAAAATTGTCATTTAAACAACACTTCAGAAAAGTCGAATAATATGTTTCGAAAGCATGTTTCGTTCTCCTGGTTCATTTAAGATCAGAAACCGAAAAAAGTACAATTAAATTTTCATTTAAGACATTAAAATTCAAATAAAACCGAAAAATTCAATCTCAAATCTGCAGAATTTTCCCTTTTTCCCTACACGATTTCGAAACACTTGGAAAAAAGAATAAAACACAACATTGTGGCAAACTGACTACTGAAAATAACCCTAAAACGTAACATTTTGTAAAGTGAACATTAAAAAAAAAAAAAAAAAAAGTCATTACATGCAAAATCGAAATTCAGAAGTAATTACAAATAAAGAGCAAAACAAATGTACATTAAACGTCATTTTAAACAACACTAAAAAATTGGGTGGACTCGATTATGCTAAACTAAACTTTTAATACCAAGAAAACGGGAAACTTTTCACAGAGATTTCTCTAAATAACAAAATCTAATCTGAGCCTTAAACAGCTAAAATCTGTTACTTTAGATCAGTGGTAGAACCGGGGGTGCCAGCACCCCTGGGCGTACGAGAATGTATCTTTGGGAGTGCGGGAGAAGCCTAACCATAAAAATTACTAAATATCATTTATTAAATTTCTTATAATAAAATATTTGAAATCTGCAATAGTGTCCCTAATATTGAAGCTAAAAAAATTGGTAGCACCTAGCTCACTTATCGGCAAAAGACACAGGAAAGAGCCGGTGCCGATGGGCGTATATACACTGGTGTGCAAAAATTAAGGACGAGACGGTTTTTACAAAAGCTTTCCAAATCAACACATTTAATACCGTAAGATCCCCAATACATAAGGACATGAGTAATGTAAGCAACACTTACTAAAAGAGAAATCAGAGGGATAAAAAAAGCTTTACTGAAAAGGCTGGAGCGCAATGCGACTGAGGCGAAAATCCCTGTGATGGGTTTCCCACAAGAAACATCCGGTCTTTAATAGGGATATGATCTCCCTGACTGCTAGGCAGGTTTCACAGCGTCTGCCCATGCTGAGAATGAGGGTGTCAATGAGTTGTTGAGCATTGCTGCCCATTCGGCTTGCAGCGCCAATCGAAAGCCCGGAATCGTACTTGTGTAAGGTACGATGCCAAGCGTCTGCCTAGAAAACCATACATGCTCGGTGGGATTGAGATCGGCGATCGTGCCGGCCATCCATACGTTCAATATCCTCACTCTCTAAAGCTGTTTGGCAGCTACTGTGCGATGACATGGTGCTTGTCATCCATGAAAAGGAACGCGGACCAGAGCGCATCTAAAAAGACGCAATATGGAAGAAGAATCTCGTTACAATAACGGGTCCCGTTGATCGAACCTGCGTCGAAGATGTGAAGGTCTGTACGACTACCAAGCATGATGGTCCCCAAACGAAACACACCTCCACCTGTCCCTTCAATAATGTTCGAGGGATGATTGCGGCTTTCCCGCTCTCTCCAGATGACTAGCGATGAGAATCGCTACTCAGACTGAATCTGCTCTATCTGTAAAAGTACCGTCCCCCATTTCCTGTCTCTCCAATTCCGGGTTCCCGGCACCACAGAGAACGCCTTCTCCGATGGGCAGGCTTCAGAGGTACACACGTACAGGGCGTCGTGCAACAAACCACCACCGTGCAGTTTCTGGCTACGGTAAACGCATATCGGTCGTTCCAGTCGCCTGTGTCGTGTGTCTAGCGATTTCTCCCGCTGTCTGCCGCCTGTTTCTTCTGGCCTGTAAGGCAATACCGGTCATCTGCGGGTGTTTCCTCGTGTACGACCACTTCTAAAACCCCGGATACTGTTCCTGTAGTTTGAAATTGTCTCCAAAGTCGTGAAACGATGCTGTGAGCAATTCCGAAACTCTGCAGCCAACTTGTCACACTGCGCCTTCCTCCAACTTCCAATGATTCGACCTCGGGTAAAAGCATCCAGATGTCGTTTAAACAGATTGATTATTCGCCATTTCTCGCTGAGGAAGAAACTCGGTGTGATTTTAACTGCTATACGGCGTGCAAACTCTTTGCCAGAAATACTGATCTTACCGACACATGTTTTTACTACTCAGACACTCCTCCATTACGCTACATATCTGCGCATGTGCTACCGTACATCACCTTACTTA